CTGCATGTCCCACCGCCCACGCTGCCCAGTAACAGGTTTGGGTAACGTCGAATGATACGGTGGTTCATGAATGATGAATTGGAAAGGATTTGGAAGGAAGTGGCAGTGATGGCCTAGTTCAGGTGCTTCAGTTTCCTGAAAGAATTAAAGAAAACCACGAAGTGAACCCAGTCAAGTTAGCCTGTATCGCGGCAGAGATTCGAACCCAGTACATTCAGAAACAAACCGCTATGGCAGCCTGCTCGAAACGTATGTGCAGGGCTTGAACCCCCATTATCAGCTGTCATGTCAGTATATCTGCTCTCCCCGCATTTGCATTGCAATCTCGTAACAAAACTTCCACGCGCTACGCGCCCAACTTCCTCTGCACATAACAGTCTTACCGCGCGGCGGGCAAGCCACGCCAATGCTCGGCTGAGGGGGAGGCGCAAGGCAGGCATCTGCCGCCCCCCCCCCAACCCAGAGTTTCGAAATAACAAACTAAAACAAGAAGATCTGGGAAGAACTAATAGCACACTTTCCTTGATACTACACGGACCGCATAGAAAACGACGCAACAATTCTTCGTTGCAGCGGGAACGTGTTTACCGGGCCGTTACCTAGCAAGATACACAAACTGATGGGAGGGATTTATGATGTATGCCGAAGAGATAGGCTCAGGTGCCATGATATACGTACCAAGTTTCGTAAAGATTTGTTCAGGCATTCAAAAGTTGATGGGAGGATGATTCACAGACACACAGACAGCAAGGTGATCTCATAAGCCTAAATTAAGGTTTTCAAAATAAGGGAAATAGGCTAAGAAAGGAAGGTCAATAAATATTTTAGGATCATATTCTTATTTCTTGAATACACTGAAGCGATCGGGAGAATCAGATTGAAACGGATTCACGGTAAATGTGTAGACAAAATTTGGTGCCCCTTGTTTTTTAAAACTAGTTTCTCTGTCCTACAGAAAATCCTGAGCGCGTCCATGCAATATATTCTTCGACAGATACACACATAGAACAGAGGATAATATTAAAATGGATATTGAAGAAAAAATCTTTTGTGAGGATGAGGATTGGATTCATTTGGCTCATAATATGGACAAATTATTCGCTCTTGTCGACATGACATTGAAGTTTGTGACCAGCTGAGCGACTACTATTAGCCCCTCAAGAAAGAGGGAATTAGGCAGATAATAAAACTGTGGCATATTTGTTGAAAGCAAGAACTGTGGAGCCAGAGAAACAGTCATTACTAGGTAACGCTGTGTAACACGCAACAATGCATTAACTGTTGGAAGCGGTGTTTTCTGTGTGGCCTGTGCCGGGCTACATATTGAGAGCCAGCTGCTATTACGGTGGAGTTTTGAGACAGTATTTAGAAAGCAGGAGGTTGGTGTGAGGTGGTCGCCAGCCTGCGAGGACGTGAGCCCTGGAGCAGAGGAGTGTCCACTGTTGGAAGCCGCTACCAAGCAGCGCAGTGAAGACCGCGACTGAGAACACTAGTCTGTGTGCTAGTGATCTGTCAAGTGAAGGAATTATTTGTTTACGAGTACAATAAATCTGATTACCAATCCAAACCCCGTCTGTAGTCAATCACGTGACGATACATTTGAAATGCAGGCCAACATACAAACTGCAAGTTGAACGGTTTCCATGGGTTCTCCTGCTACAGAAGCGATTCGGCGCGCGGTTTGTCAAGGGGAACGATAAACATCTGAGAAACATGACGTCAGAGTTTCCCCATGTGACTGTTAAAAAGAGTTAACTTCGTCACATCTGTAGCCGGCCAAGTGCTGGGTCACAGGCGAAGTTCCCAGCTTAAGGACTCAGGATGTGATAATGCGCTGCGTGATCAGGGCTGAGGCACACTTTTGGGAGCGATGATAGATCAGTTTCGAACAATACTGCGGTGATGGTTAGCAGAGGAAAGCCAGCACACATAAAGCCTTCACAGGCCGACTTCTGATTCTTCTACTAGAACTTCCGTGGCTGACTTCACCTCTCCGGTCTCATTCTATAACTGCGTTGTAGCGCCGAATATCTTCAAGATTACTCCTCGGCACGGACCACGCACAGAAAACACATGTCACGTGCTCGCTATTTCGTCAGTCCATTGGTGCGCTGGCTGGACCCACAGAAAACACATCACATGACCGCCGCCCAGACAACTTATTGGCGCGCTGACCGTCGTAATATTGTTGCGTTCGCGTATCGCGAGGTGTTTATCGAGCCGTTTCCTAACAATTCTTTGAGCAAATCTGTTACAGTAATAATCTTCAGTTCCTGGGCGAGATTCGAACCAAGCGCCCTCAAATATAAGTGTAAGAGCGTTAACGCTGTACCATCCTGCTAGGTTTCTGTTTTCACTGAACTGATTTTTGTTCCTCAATAGAATTACCCTTTTAGATGCTTCAAGTCTGTAAAACTATCTACCGTTGTTGCTGGACCCAGACGCCCCGAGTACGTGCAACAGGGCACCGAAGCGCGAAGCGTCCAATTAATTGCTGGAGACGAGCTGCAGAGCGCAATTCGTTACCCGAGATGCAACGTCGAGGCACTTCGCTTAAGCATTTTCTTGTATTAAGAAAGGAAATGGCGCACAACGGCTTAATTGCAATATACTGCAAGCAGCCTGCAAGAAAATTACACTTTAAACGACTTCGTACCTATTAAGGATGTAGCCTGACACCGTACCTACTTCAGAAGTTGGTAACTCCTTCGGGTTTGAGGAGTTACGTGCTCTGGCCTGTACACAGCCAGAAGTAACTCCCTGCTGCCTCCTTCCGCACGTTTTGCAAGTGACTGCTCATCACCTTACCTGAGCTGCTCCCGGCGTCACTACACAAACCACAAACACAGGATCAGTCCACTGCCCCGTGAAGCTGGAGCTGGCGTTCTCACGGCGGGTTGTACAGCCGTGTAGTCCAGAGGAACACATTTCCTCTATCTTCACGGACGAAGTGTAAGCCAAGGAGGAAATCGGCAGAAGCTGGCGACAAGCCCAGCTCCACACTTCGCAGTTACTGCGGTGAGAGCACCAAATCCAGCTTCTCCTGACGCTGATCTTGTCGTCTTTTCCTGTTTTCTCGCAGGGTTTACTTTTAAACTCTGAAGATGGAAGCGATATGTTCCTCCGAAACATCTGGCTCTCTACACGGCTGTACATCCTGGAGGACCGAATTCTTAATTCGTGCAAATTTTGTGACAATAATTTCTTGGCATTTCCCATTGTCTCGAACATGTTTAAAATACACGAAGTTTCGAAAACTGGGTATCAGTTTAGGGCTAAGACTCGTTAGAGGCAGATCAACGACCGGCAGTTCCCGCTTCAAACGTTTGTATAAAGAACAACACAACATAAACCAAGGTCAATTTGGATTTGAGGTTATCACAGCTCTATTAATATTACTGTTATCTTGAATGTTACGTCGTGGAATTCGGCAGTTCACCGACGTTTCGGAGTAACGTACTGCCTCCATCTTCAGGGTCGGGGAGTAAGCCACGAAGCAGTAAAATCGAGCCGCGTGTAAACACTTCGCCCTTTTTCGAGACCTGCATATGTACAAAGTAAAAATACAGCTCACTTTGTTTACTGCTTGCTTCCGTGACTTACGCTTAGACTCTGAAGATGGAGGGAACACGTTGCTCCGAAACGTAGGTGAACTTGTACGTTATATGCTAGAAGATAATGGTTTTCAAATTAGCAGCCTACTGTTTGCATAATTTTCTGCACCTAAAAGTTTCTCTGTGGGGTTTGTGGACTTAAAAGGGCTGCTTCCTTCCTTCCCTTGTGCAGAATAAAAACAAATTAAACGAAAACCCTGCCCAGTCTAACAGCCGGCGCCGTGTGTGTCTGTGCGGCAGGTGAAGTCGGAACGTATTAATATTCAGAGCCATTTGGATGTTGGTTTAAACTTTTCATAACTGTGCAGCTCATATCGTCCAGGAATGTTTCCTATCCCGGGCGTCTGTCGCAACTTCATTAAATGGGCGATAAGCACGTTACAACCAATAGGAATTGCGGGCGACAGGCTCCTAGTGTACACAGTGCGGTGGGGGAGGAATACATTTGAATTTGATTCGGGAAAGGAGGAACTGTTCCGCACACAGGGTGTCGCACAACGAAATGTGGTGTACAGACACGTTAGTAAGGGATGACTTTGTAAACAGCGGTCGTTGCTGAGTATATGCACGCAACAATAGAAGAATGGTGTTTACTGTGGTCCGCGCTGCGGCCGTCTCTGGGCAACAGCTCGCTAAATACTTTCCCACGGCAATTGACACGAACGCAACAATAGCAAAACGATGTTTTCTATATGGTCCGTGCCGAGGTGTTATAAGCAAAGGACAAAGTTCAGAGGAATTACGCACATGAGATTGAAGATAGAACCTGATTACGTGAAACTGAAGAACCTCCAGTTTTAAAAGGCTTTGACAGGCAACGGCAGCAGGCTGGAAAAGGCTTAGCGGGTGCTGTGGTGGTTCGAGAATTGTGGAGATTAGCGGTGGCGCTGTGATTATTTCTGCCTATGAGTCGTGTGTATAAGTGGTTATTAAATCCATTTCCCAATCCAAACCCCGTCTGTAGTCACGCACACAAAACCCACATCCATGACAATACATGAAATTTCATAAAAAGGTAAACCTATCCCTGTAACAGGCCGTAAAGACCCATAGGATTGTGAGACGTCGAACCTCCCACATTTTCTAGAGAATCGGCTCACAGATGGCGGTGAAGAAGTCAGCCTTCCGCGCCGGCCGACCCCCAGGAAGATTCCTAGTACTCATTTCTGTTAGAGGCTGAGTCGACCCAAGTAACCATGTACCAACGCGGACCGGTGTGGCCGCGACTTGCACACGGCTTGCAACGTTCCGTATGTATACGATTATTATAACAAAATTGTGCAGACGACAAGCAGAAGTCACACGAAATCACGAGAATGAACACGTTCGCAGTCGGACGCAAAAGATAAGAGGCTTAAACTTGGCAGCGGTGAAGCTTACGACCGTTCAAGTGACTAAGCTGCCGTCGTAGCATGAGATACGCAAGATAGGCATGATCTGCTTTGCAAAGCCTGGACTGACGAAGGGCCTGTATACAGTGCACATGCAAGAATTCCCAATTTCATGCTACATGTGCGATACGTACACTTGACAACGGCCAAGCACATTCGTAAGACACAAATCGATCCTTTCGTCAGGGAGAATGTTACATAGGTCTGTAACCGTAAGGGTTCAGTTGAAAAAAATCTCTGGTCGTGAGTCTCAACGTGCTTGGCGCCAAGACGAACTGATTAGCGGTAAACATCCAGTCGTAAAGTGACTCTGACTTTGACAGGTTCAGTCGCTCTGAGCAGTTGCTGTTAGCGGCTTGTAGCTGAGGTGTGGGGAGAGTTTGGGAACCCAGAGGAAGGGAAACGTCCGCCGTTGGAAGCCGCTACCAAGCAACGGCTAGTGGAGACTAAGAAGACTTTATTTGTTCTGTAGTTACAATGATCTCTGGTTTTCGTAACACAGACTATCGTAGTTATCTATAGTTAAAGTGTATGTTTCCAATAAACCCGATTACCAATCTAAACCCTGGACACAAACTGTCCTGCTTATAACATCTCGGCACGGACCGCACAGAAAACAGTCTTCCTCATTATTCTAGTTGAATTGCTGCCTTGGAAGTGTGCTTGTTTGCGAAGCCGTTACTCACTAACTGCTGTTGCATATTTAGATATCTCGCAGTCGTTGCCCAGCAACGGGTCTACAGGCCACAATACTGTATCTCATTTTATAGAGAAGGCAAAATCACAGGAGTTAGAATGCGAAGAACTAAAAAAATACCAGGAAGAAGTGGGCAATTCAGGTCACGTAGTGCTGTAACACTCAGACGAGGTGTGGGTCTACTTAGAAAGAGGAGGAAAACATGGATGTAGAATTTTTGAGCGGAGGGGTCCTGCAGAAGACTGCTATTTATAACATCGAAATGGAGCCCGGGGAGCTACGATAGCTCAGTCGGTATAGTGACAGGGCTAGGGAAGGCCTGTGGCTCCATTTCCGGCAGAGATTCTTGTCTTCACAGGGTCAAGCTCGTCCGTACAGTCTAATCAGCCCCTAACAATGGGCACCGCTGGACATATCACAGGGGTAAACTGGCCGGGGCGTCAAGCTGACCACTCACCGCCACCTAGTGTGTGGAGTGTGGAACTTAATCAAGCAGAGGGACAAATTTACTTTCTTGGATTTCATATACTCAGAGCGGTGGATATAGGAAGTTCTTGGATATAACGCGTTGTAATCCGTTGAAATCCAACCGACGTTTCGAAGGAATATGTCGCCTCCATCCATAAGATAAGCAAGAAACCAGTCTGAAGCATGCAGCAAGCAGAGCTTTACTTTAATTGTAAGTGGAATCTTCCTGGTTATGAACTGCGTGCCGTGGGGAAGGATGATGAAGCCTCGGTCCTGTTGCCAGAGAGTTAGTTGTGTAGCTGTTTTATTGTTTAATTCGGCCGCTGTAATTCACCAATTGTGGCATGCAGTTTGGTAGGCGGTGTGAAGTTGCCTCATACACACTAAACGGTACCGACAGCTCTGATTTACCCTATGGTCCCGTATTCTCTTGCTTTGCACACGCTTACCCGCAAGGGGTGTACATCCCTGTGACACACTGGCCACCAAACTTGCTATCTCCAGCTCATTGTCGTTCTTCTATTCAAGAACTCCCTGACATTCATAAAACCAAAATGTTCATTATCGTGCCCACAAGAGCCCGTCACCGGTCTGTATCCTGGTCCGGCTGAATCCGGTATCTCTGCTTCGTATTCAAGGGGTCCCGGGATAAATCTCGGGCTAGACATCGGCCAATATTCATCTGCATAATATATACAAGTACAGTCCGTACCTCACAGGAGACATTACGTCTCCGCTACAGAGCCCTACCGGTTAATGCTGTTTAGGGAAACAGCCGCTGTTTACTGTGAGAACCATACGGAACACACAGATACACTCTGTGGGCAGAATGCAGAGTTTTAGTATGTTCAGTCCGTACCTAACAGTAAACATATTCTCCGCTACAAAGCCCAACCGGTTAATGCTGTTCAGGGAAGCAGTCACTGTTTATTGTGAGAACAATGCGGAACACATAGACACTCTGGGGGCAGAATGCAGGGCTCATGCATGCTAAGGCGGTGGTAAGCACTGTGCTACGAAGGATTACGCTTAATGGTTCATGTGAACAGAACTATATCGATGGCAGCTGTCAGTTCAGTTTGACAGACTCATCTCCACACATTACATGGCGAGCTGATCCCTTTCGGGTCTGTCCGCATTCTCCGGCTGGCTCCATGACGCGATAGGGATCAGAGATGTACCGCATCATAGGATCCCCCCACAGCGGTGCAGTCCTTTTTGAGAAGCTAACAGTTGTTCAGCTACTCAAGAAATATCTCGACTTTCATGTAACCAAAATGTTGCATTATTATTTTCACTGGGCTCTCTGCTAAACTACATTAATCCAGTCAGCCTTATCGGTAGGTCGGTTAACTTGCTATAGGTCCTCGCCAGCACAGTTAATCTCCATTCTACTCCTGTCGCGACACACGACCATATGTTTAGTTCTTTCCAAGACTTTTAAGTATTTTGAATTGTGCTCCCTCTTCAACGAGAGGAGGGATCTATAACTTCCCCTCTGCTGGCGGCTGACTCCTCCCTACCCCATCTATGTCTATTTCTTCAAAGCTGTCTCTTCCCTTGAGATATTTTGGCCGAAATTCGTATGCACTGCTCATCGCCCCATGCATGCTACATGCACTACCCACTTCAACCTCCTTGACTTGATAATCTTATTATAGCAGGGATGCTGTGGAAGTGTATTCGGAAGGCGGCTTGTACGAAATTCGGCCGCGACATCAATTATTCTGATAGAGGTCTTTCATGGTTTTCCTTAGTACCTCCAAGTAGATGCCAGGATAGTACCTCCATTAGGTCTCTAATCTATCATTTTACCACTCGAAGCAATAGAGTCTAGTTACTGGATTCGCCGTAAACCAAGTCGAAAACTCTTGTTTCTTTCGTTATTTTCTTCAGGTGCAAGTGTCCGTTGCCTGCTTCAGGTGGCGTGCAGATGCATGAAATCTAACCTATGCGAGTCACTAGCAATCTGCGAAAAAAAGGCGAAAACCGTCAACTAAACCAAACGAAGCGACAAGATGCAAGGACTCACCTTTCCCAGCTGAGCCGACGAGGTGGGTGCAAGGAAGTGGTGTTCTCGCCGGAACTTCCGCTCGCGGATGTTATGTTCCCCGAGGCAGGGCTGCGCTGATTCAACAGCTTGGCTAGTCGGTAAAGAGCAGTGCTGCTCGCACCGGCTCCAGGAGTAGACATCCTGAAAGTGGGAAGCCTAGGATTTGAAGGTGTCCGCTGACACCGACCGGCCAACAGTTGCACTACCTTTGTCTACAGGGTGGTCAAGAAGAGCTCCAACCCGAGAAGCTGATAGTGGCTCAGTGAAGTTGGATTGCAGAGGTCATTCACAAAAGCCCGCCACNTATATATATATATATATATATACGGGGCGCTCAGCGTCTGGAATGTATCAGGACGGATTGAAGAAGATCCGAAAGGAAGCGACCGTGACCCGAATCGAGATGCTACGCGGGCATTTGCCTCGAGAAGCTGAGGAAAACCACGAGAAGCCCGAATCACAACAGAGAGACTCCGTAATACGAGTCCGGGGCGTTACAGCTATGCCAACCCGTTCCATTATTGTGATCAAATTTGACTGAATTCATGGAATGAGAATGTTAGTAGAAAACTAATCTTAATATATACAAGAAGTTCTGGGAAGAACTAGTGGCCTAATTTCCTTTGATACGACACAGACAACAAAGAAAATGAAAAAAAATAGGTAGAGGGAGGGAGACGTGACACAAGCCAAAAAAATTGGGGGGATAAACATATAGATGGCCAGACACAGATAGCAATCTCATAAGCCTTTTTTGTTTTGTTTTTTCAAAATAAAGACAGTAAGATAAAAATCTGAATTTTTCACATCGATGAAAATTTATATTATTGTCTTCTGCATTATGGCGCCGTAAAGTACAGACGGTGTCAATATGCTCAGCTGAAAAACCAGTAAGCACCTACCAGGCTACATAGAGTCATACCCAACGAGCTCAAAATATGATTAAGCATATCGAAAGGCCGCTCCATAGCTCAAGCGGTTAGTCGCTGGCTTCCCACCGCGGCGGCCCGGGTTCGATCTCGGGTCTGGTAAAGTAGGATTTGTAGTGGACAAAGTGACGCTGGGGCAGGTTTTTTTTTCCGAGTACTTCGGTTTACCCTACCAATCTTCATTCCACCAACTGCTCCATAATAATCCTCACCTATCATCTGGGGCTGGTACAATAGGCCAGAAGTGGCCGCAGTACAAGGGACTTAGTCCCACCCCACTAGCAATAAAAAAAGCATAACAATGGACTGCAGGTTCTCACAGCGGTAACCACGAAGATATGGATACTTGAAATGTAGCACTTGCGCACAGCAGGCTGCGCGCTGAACCGGCCACCGCGTTCGCCGGATCTCATGACATGAAACGAACGCAAGCTGGACACAAAGGATGGAGTATTTCAGACAATTTTTGAGGCACGGTGCATTCCCTCTAATGGCCACACTACCCCTCGTGGAACGAACTGGGCTGTGCGTACAGAAGTTGACGGGGTTGGGGGCGTTTTGAGCAATTACTTTAGGGCATGTTAAAGGTACGGTGTAAGCATTCCGTCTTCTCCACAGTCAAAACCTCCCTAACGTCAAGCTACACCCGTAACTCCGAAACCTTCCTCTCAGAATTGCCTGGGAAATCACCTCCTGAAATTGTGACAAAGTCTCGGTACATTCTGTGAATGATGACTGTAAGGATTTTATACAGTGCTGTCAGTGTTTTGGAACTACCTGTAAGCCCGCGGTGTGGGCAGACAGAGCAACCCATCCACGGTGCCACTGGCTCCACCAGACTGTGCAGGGTCCGAGCATGACTTCACGGGAGTCGAGTCGTCAGTGAAGGCAATGCGAGGCGCTGAGAGTCTAGCAGCCGACCTCCCGTCTGTTGCTTTGTCGCCCTCGGCTGCAACAAACAAACACACCGCGGTTTTACCTGGTACATCTGAGTATTTGCTAAGACTTTCGTTACTCACGTTGTGGAAGCGGCGCCCTGCACACACTGCAGGCTGGTGTCAGAGTGCCCAGATGTTATGTTGGCGGCCGCGTCAATTTCCCGCTGAATTATCAACAGCCTTTATGCTAATTACATGTGTATCACGGAGACAGTTCAAACGAAATGCATAATGCGATCAACCCGCACGACTTACCCACCCGCCTGCCTCCTTACCAATCTCTTTTACAATACTGAGGTATGGAAAATGCCTGATTTCATATAGACTTTAAAGGAGTCTGACGATGGTGTATACTGTACTTCTTTTGGCTTGTTTCGGACTTCATCCATCGTCTGGAATGTAAAAGACAAAAGACCACGACGTTTCGGAGACTGGATCTGGTCCAGTGATTGAGACCAACTCTTTCTAACGGGCCCAACTGAGTAGGTTTATCCTTCCCTACCCACCTGAAGACGGAAGCAGATCCAGTGTCCGAAACGTCGTGGTCTTTTGTCTTTTACATTCCAGACGATGGATGAAGTCCAAAAAAAAGCCAAAAGAAGTACCTGATTTCATATTCATTGCCGTAAATGCGCGTTCTTCTTCAGAAGTCCTCTGGATCCGGTGAAGGAAGGTAAAGTATGGGGACATATACAATAAATTCACGACTATATTAATTTGTAAGCGCACTCTCCTATTCGGAGCCCATCACTTCCTGAATGCAAAACTTAAATGAAATGACATCACAATTTGCCGAACCACTTCTTCGCTCCTGTGGCTCGACTTTCCGAAACTTTTAACAGCTTTCCCACGCATGCATAACGAGCTTTCAACCGTTACTTCATTTTCGGGGAACTGCTTATGGCACATAATCATCAAGAAGTTGCAAATTTTTTAACAAACTGACAACAAAGAAAACATCTTATAACTGTTCTCGAGAAATAACGGGTGTAGAACTCTGTCTGCACGCCGACGTTTCGCTGTGGGTAATTTTAAGAAACTTTCTATATATATATATAGTGTCGAAAGGCAGGATGGTTGCTGAGTAATGAACTAGAAAGAATTTTGAAGCGGACAGTCGTCAGAAACAGGTGCTGTCACGCCCAAGATCCGAACCGAGCACCACCCGAATAGATTCAGGAGCATTACCGCTACGGTAGTCCGCTCGGTAACTCTCTGCATGTTCTCATGGCAATGATGATTGGAATATGGCACCGGTGTCCTGGCAAATAGGTGACAATGTTTCAGAGGAATTTGCTGCCTCCACCTTCGAGGTAGAAAACGAAATCGCGCGTGGTGAAATAGGTAAGGAAATGGGGTGGGATGACGTGATCGATACCCCCGCTTCTGACCTCCGAATCAACCCCTGTTCCTTTCACTCTGCCCCTTAAGAAAGCCCTTCAAAGGGTCACTGTTCCCTACGTAACCTCCAACTCCTGTTACTTCACTGAGTCGCTCTGCCACTATTCCTGCGCTGTTGCCCTTATTCCTGACGGCCCAGCCACCCTCCCCTTTGCGTATAACCGTAACCATTAATGTTCAACCCTGGAGAAGGAGACACAAGATTCCACCGAAAAGTCTATAACTTTCTATCAATTCACCCTGCCAGTAGTAAGAGCCAAGAGTGTGAGAGGGACGCCCGCGCCTGGTGACAATAGCTTGAGGCAGGGGTGTGTGTGCGCGGGGGCTCAAAGTCCCGGATCTGAGGCCCGAGAGACACGCTTCTGGGACTGCCTCACGCTGGAGGGGGGCCCTCGCTGCTGCAATGCGCCGACATTCGAGGCCCCCGCCGCACCGTAAACCAACACACACTTCTCCGGGAGATCGTTACCATTGTTTCGGAGGAATATGCCCTCTCCTTCTTCAGGGTGGAGGAGTAAATCCAGCGTGAAGTAAGTTGTATGGATATAGGGACAAAGATGTCGGGACCGGGACATCTTCTGTTGCTGTTTATAAATGCAATTAATTCTGCCATCTTCTGGTACCAATTCATAACTAACTCATAACGACACAGCAGCAAGTATTTGTTGTCATCTTCTGGTCCTGTTCGTAACTGCTTGTTACATAAAAGCCGCTCATACACAACGGTAAAATAACCAACACTGGAGTAGCAGGACTCGGCACTCAAGTACGGTCATGACTCCAGCGACAGTCGGAACCAAGGTTGAGCTGGCGAGGACCATCAGCAATTTACCCCACCCGACCGACACAGCAACAAGCGTTTTGATGTCACCTTCTGGCCACGTTCGTAACAAAATACGAATACACGGCTACAATAAATAGGGACGGAACGCGAAGTAAGCATGGAGAGGGAGGGGGAGGACGCGCAGTGCCCTCAATATGCACGTAAAGGGGCCACAATTGTCCTCTCGCCACTTGCGAGCAAGAGTGCGCCATGTCCCTGTATGCCTGTATGCGCTGTTCAGTAGCTCCAACGGTACAGCGTCGAATGGCGCGGTGATTAACACACACTGAATTAAAATGAAGAGTGGAAGGAAGTGGTCGTGACGTGTTTCGAAGTTCTGCCCTGCATTCGCCTTGAGGAAATGAGAAACACAATCAGGATATTGGCTGCCCCGGCCGAGAATCGAACCAGACAACCTATTTGATGCCGCATGTGAAATTCTAGGGCAGCTCTGAGAGTTTTCATGAAACATGATAATGGTAAGTGTAATTTCCAATTGTCATTAAAATCAAATAATGACGGACACTTGAAGATCTACATGTGTTTCTGCACGCGTGTAGACATTAACTCGCGGGTAACTAGCAAAATATTTACTCAAACGAAAAATGTTTGAAGCAGATGTTTACAGAGAAAAGTGTAATTCTCTTATTACGGCCAGTAAAATTTTTCCGCTGGGCACGCGGTAGTGTAGTTGGTTGAGGCACTATACAACAAGCCGGAAGGTCACGGGTTCGATTCTCTTTGAGGTCACTGGATTTTTCAAATGACCTAATACTTCCAGCCTCACTACGGCCCTGGGATCGACTCAGCCTCTAACAGAAATGAGTACCAGGAAGCTTTCGGGGGGTAAAGGGCGGTCGGCAGGCTAGCAAGACTGACAACCTCACCGCCATCTTTGAGTTGGTTATCTAGAGAAAATGTGGGAGCCTCGACGTCTCACAGCCCTATGGGTCTTCACGGCCTGTTACAGGGATAGCTTTACTTTTTGCACTTTTCCCGCCAGTCTCACAAAGCGAACTGCGTACAGTTTTCTGAACTTGTTGGATTTCTCTACGGACGGGAAACAGTGCATAAGGGACAGCTGTGTGTGTGCCTTGTAAGTTATGTCATGGTCAGTGGTCTGGAACGGGGCGGGCGGCCCTGTTTGTCTTCTGCAGAAACATCTGTCGACTCGCGAACTGAGTCAGACTATGTCTCCTGTTCACTGAATGCAATGATTGAAGTCAGCTCCCAGTTTTCTGCTTACTTCTTTCTCACTGGACACTGCATATCTGTTCCTCCGATTCTACCAGACTGCAGTGCGTCACATGGGCGCTCTGCGGGGTCTGCACACCCCTAACCTATGGTGACAGCCGTTCCTTTCTATCGATTTCCAGTTGTGCTTCCGTTGCTATTAATCTCTCATGCAGATAGGGTTTGAAGTTTATGATGCAAATCCTTCAAGAAGACAAACGCGTGTAAAACATCGCAACCCTGCTCCGTATAGGAGCCACGAGAGCTCAGTCGATATGGCGATTGGCTATGGGCTAGACGGTCGAGGGATCAGAGTTCGAGTCCCGGTAGAGGCAAGATTTATCTCCTCTCTCTACGCCGTCCAGCGATCGTTCCTTAATTTAGGGCACAATCACGGAATTTTCCTGTAAGAACGCATACACCCCAGTCAGAATAGCCCACGTGCTGGACGAGATTCGAACCCCGACACCTTCTGAATTACCGGTTAAGCGACTGTTACAAATGTGACTGACGGAGCCGGTCGCATTGACTTCACGCGGTTCCGACGTACGATTAGAAGAGTTCTTGCTGCGGAGCTGCGGGTTCCGACCGGAGCCTCACTGTCACAGACTCTGAGTTACGTTTCCAACTCCATTTGTGTTCCTGCGCTTAATTAAACACACGCCATGAAGACCTATGGGGAAGCGCAGGTATAAATCCACGCATTCTTAACTTCGGTACTATATGGAAGTGAGTGTTGAGCTTACTGCTCTGGCTGCTTTAAGCGCCCAAGGTAAGCATAGCACAGAATATTTCTCCCCCAATTTCAATTACAGTAAACACTTGCTAATCCGGATTAATTAGGGAGAGGTCATCAGGATTAAGTGATAATCCATATTAGTGAAGCAAAAGATCACCCTAAAAGACAAAAACTTAGAACACAAATAAACAAAAAATGCCATATATAAGTAGTGCTGGTGAAAATAAATATCACTGTACAGTTCTTGTTTAAACTTACAAAAAGACAATACGTGTGTACTTGTTTCTGAACGCAATAAGGCACGTCTGAAGAAACTCTCGAGTTTTCCCTGAACAGAGAAGCAACTCATCTGCCTTTATGCATGTACTCAAACTGTGAACAACAGTTTTCATATTTCGATCTGAATTAACTCTAACCGGATTAGCGAGCGTTTACTGTGTGTGTATTGTGCGCGAGAAAGAGATGAGATATGCCTACAAAATTTTAGCCCGTAAACCTGAATGGGCCGGTCACGGTAGCCGAGCGGTCTAAGGCATGTACTGTCTTCGCTCGTTTGGAAACCGGGATCGTGGGTTCGAATCCCACTCAGGGCATGGATGTTTAGATTGTGTGAGTTTTTCTGTGTTTGTGTACAGGTAGAGGCCTTGCGACGAGCTGATCACCCGCCCAAGGAGTCCTACCGAATGTGTAAGATCTAGAAAAACCGGTGAACGGAGAAGTTCATGGAGGTAGGCCTAGGCCCACTGGGGCTGTAGTGCCAAGGGAAAAAAAACCTGAATGGAAGAGACAACTTAGTGACCGAACAACTAAACAAA